GTCTTCGAGGTTTTGCAAGACGGGGAAGCTAGTTTCTCACAGACGGCGCCACTGATCTTACCTGATCAGACTTGGACCATCATGACTGGCTCCGAGCAGAAGTTGAGTGAGATGGGGGGGGGTGTACCTGCAAGACACTCTGATGCTAAAGTGAGTGATGGTACGAGCAGACAAAAAGTGTATGTATGGGTAAGAGAATGAATACCTGACCCTCTAGGAACAAAGAGTATTTATAGTCCCCAGCGCGGAGCCAAGGTCCCCTCATTGGGCCGACCAGGAATGGCCTAATAAAGGAACTGCCAGGTTCTACGTGTGTAGTGGGGACCCGTACGTGGTCTCTTTCCTGGTGATGCTTTGCGAGAAATGAGGAGGGACGAAGACGCGGTCTTTCCGGAGTTCAGGTGATTTGGTAACGGTCAGAGTCTGCCCTACGAGGAGAGTGCTCGAACTGGGCTCGAGCTGGAGTTCCCGTGGTCGGGGACACCATGTGTCGCGGGCAACGGCGAACACGGCTACAGTCTGTAGTCGGACGCGCTGGCGAGAATCCTCGAGCGCGCGCCCCTCGAAGAGTTGCTTGGATTGGGCATGAATTCTTACTTTTAGGCCAGAACGGACCCAGTCCAGAACAATATTGATCTCTTAAAATGCACAAGATTTTATATATAAGAGTTTTGTTTTAAAATTCTAATCCAATAAACTCTAAAAGAAAATAAAAATTTGGTGAAAACTAAAATAAATTACAATTACTGGCGTGCATTACCACCCATAGCGTGTATGATAGACACTAGACAGAACCCACTCACAGTAACACCATTCTCATTCCTTCCCTTCTTCCCTCTCACAATTCATTCCCAGTCGCCGTCACTCCACCGCCACCATTCCGAACGCCGTTACAATGCAAACCCTCAACCGTTTCATCTCCTTCACAAGAAAAATCACCACCGAGCTCCGCCACGAAAACCGCCTCCATTTCGCACCTCCCCGAACATTCTCAACCACAACTCCCGGAGGAGGATCCCTCGACGACGCGAACTGGGAAACACCTTCCACATGGTCAACAGGCCTAACAAAGGACCACTTCAACGGCGAAGCGAATCCCCAAACAACCCTCTCCGATCTCCAAGAGATGGAAGACAAACTTCAGGAATTGGAAGAAGAGAATCGGAAAAGCAAATCGTATGTTGATAGTTGGAAGAAACGATTGGCAGATACGTGCTTGTTGTTGAAACAGGTTCGTGAGCCTGGTGCCAGAGGATCGTATTTGAAGGATAGTGAGAAAGCTGAAATGTATCGGTTGCACAAAAAGGATCCTGAGGTTTATACCGTTGAAAAGCTTGCTAAGGATTATAGGATTATGAGACAGAGAGTTCATGCCATTCTTTGGCTTAAGCAACTTGAAGAAGAAGAAGAGAAGAAGCTAGGTCACCGTCTTGATGATTCCGTTGAACTCTTGCTCGACACTTTTCCTGAGTCAGTACTTTTTTTGTTAGGGTTAAGGGTTTAAGGTTTATGCGTAGAAAGATTGTTCATATGCCTAGTTGAATTTAGGGTTAAGGGTTTACGGTTTATTTATGGTTGATATGATTAGTTGGGTTTATTGATTGTTTTTTCTTTTTTGTGTTGTTGCAGATTTTTCATTTCTCATGATAGGGAGTTCCATGTGGCGTCTCTTCCTTATAAACCTGACTTCAAGGTGATGCCTGAGGGATGGGATGGCATTACTAAAGATTTGGATGAAGTTCATTATGAAATCTCTAAAAAGGAGGATGATATGCTTTATCGAGATTTTGTTGAAAAGATGAACTTCAACAAGAAGAAAGTGAGTTCTCTTTGGTTGATATTCTTTGTTTTGTTAATGAAAAGCACCTTGTCATATAATACATGTCTTGTGTACATCATTTTGGCCTTAGTATGTCTCTGTACATCATATAGAACTAGATAGATATAATACATGTCTAGTTATGTTTAGTGCAGTTTTTTGTTAGAACCCAACCATGAACGCCCCTAGTTATGATAACTCAATTATAGAAGATATGTTGCAACTTCAGCACAGATGACAATAACAGCAGATATGTAGGTTAAAGATTCTTCAGAAGAAGGAAATTTTGAATTCCACAGTTTTAATATCCCTCAAAGCTATGAAAAATCGCTTGGTAGGAAACAGTGCAGGGACTAATTCCCATAAAGAGCACTTGAAACCTTCATAAATTGTTCAGTTAGTAGCTACTGGTATTTAATGTGTGGTCCTGTGAAACCCATCAGCAATAGTAGGCTTTTGATTACTTTCACCGATGACTTTAGCTCTAAAACATGGATTTTTATGGGTAGAAAAGTCATAAGATTTTGCTGTTTTCAAAAGATTAAAATTTCATGCTGAGAAGGAAAGTGGTTCATTTATTAGATGCTCACAAACTTAATCAAGTCAGAGAGTTTATGTTGCACTACCCTAACTTTTGTGAGATGCATAAAATATATAATTGGAACTGAAAGTTACGTATTAACACAAGAATAGAACTATTATGTGAATATGGTTTGCTGTATGCTGTCAAAAAAGAAAAAGTCCTAACTTCTTAGTAAGTTAGAAGAAAATGAATTCTAATATGCACATGTTACTAACCAAGCCCGTTTAGGGATCCTTGCGACTTTTAACAAGACACTAGAACTCTTAAATTCATAAACTTGGCCTGCAATATTCCTCGGAACCAGAACTTATTTAAACGATTTGAAATATTTGGAAAGTCAAAGATAACCTGCTTCTAAACTCTTTGTATTGCTCCTTATTCACAGCTGATGCTGACTACTGCTCAGTTAGCATATATAGTTAATGTAATTTGAAGCTTTGTGTTACTCATTTGATCAATATATCTTATGAAGATCTGGATGTCTAGATATTATAGAGAAAAGCTTGGGCATGAAATTTGTATGGTAGTAGGAAATATTAAGAGACATACTTTAGGTCTATAACTACTTGGATACACAATTTTCCCAATTGTCATTTCTTCCAAGTAAATTATATAGTATATTGAAAGTGAAAACTATGGAGCGGAGGGGTGATGGGTGATGACATGGATGGTTGATTTTTTGAATAATGGCATGTTCTGGTGATGCTGTATTGGACGACCTTTAAGAACATCCAGATTGTTTGATGGACCATTAGTAATGAATGTGATCTTATTATGGGTAGTTTTATTTATTGATGAGCAGTTATGGGTAGTTATATTTATTCATGTCAGTTATGTGTGGAAGTTATGTGTTATGTGTGTTTCTGTTTTAGAATAAATAGAGAAAGGAAAAGACAAACAAATTACAATACAGTTACTGAATGGTTTTGGGTGGGAGAGAGCAAGCTCTCTAATTCTTGGAGGGAGAGACCAAGACTCTCGAATTTCTTGGATTAGTTTATGTGTGTATTATGTATTATCTTTAGTGTTTGTAATTACATGTCTCTTGTAAACATATTCTGTTATAAATAGAAGTCAGTTATTACTATTAATCTGTATTTTGGTACTGGTTTCTATCAGAATGTAGAAAGATTGTCTGAACTCTAATGTGATTTGGCAATTGGTATAAGTTTTGGTGAGAAACACAAATCAACTGGTAGGCTAAAAATGGTTTTCCTGAAAATTGTTGTATATCACTTTAGTTGATCCACGTTACAACTAACCTCCTTAGTAAGTTAAAACCAGGCTGCTAGTATATGATTTCCTTTCAATTGTTTGATCAAAATACTATATTATTATCAAACTTTCATGTCTGCTGATCAATACTCATTTAATAAGTACGCGAGTGTATTCTATGATCCATGTGCTGCTAGTTAGTTTTTTAGTTGTTGAACCCACTGAATAATGTGATTGTGATCATTTTACAGATGGCTGGAGAGGTGAAATGCCACAAGTATAGTCGACGACGCCCTGAAGACGGATGGACTTTTACTGTAGAGAAAATGGGAGCCCGGGGAAAGCGAGGAGGTGGCGGGGGCTGGAAATTTGCTAGCATGCCTGATGGATCAACCCGACCACTGAATGAGACAGAGAAAATGTATGTGAAGCGAGAGACTCCACGCCCGCGACGAAGGATCCTTCCTTGATTACATTTTTGTTTGTTTCGACTAGCTGTTAAAATTAGAATTTTTAGTCCAATGCATCAAATGGTTTGAGATATGCAAATGTATTTTTGTATTGTTATTTATCCTTTTTTTTTTGGTTGTTGGGATGAGTTATCTTAGGATGATCTTGTAGTTAATCCTCATTATATTGCTCAATTTATGCACAATGATGTCAATAATCAAGATTCTCTTTGTTGTCAAGAAAAAAATTAACTACCTCTAATTTTAACGCATGAAACTTAGTGCTTAAATGTGATGCTCGCGATCAGTTTATTGGAGAAGTGTGGTTTAGACTATAGGCATGAAGAGATGATATTCTGTAAAACGATGGTGCGTTTCTGGATGAGATTAATTTTTATGGATCTGTTATTTAATAATCTCCATAATCTTTTCATTCGAGTTATTTTGAACACAGAAAATAATGAAAAGGAGCGCTGGTGTTTAACCGCTTGTCGTATTAAGTAAACTGACAGTCTCGTGTTAATTCGATGTTCTTCCGTTTCAAGTTTAGAGAAACGTTGCATTAACTGGGTAAGTTGGCATAACATTTGCAAACCCAAATTGGAAGGAGGGTTAGGCATAAAGCACATAGGTCACTTTAATTTGTCTCTATTGACCAAATGCAAATGGAGGCTGCTGGTTGAAGGAGAATCTGTGTGGAAAAATATTCTGGAATCAAGATATGGAGATTAAGGAGAATCTGTGGAAAAATATTCTGGAATCAAGATATGGAGATGATGATGGGTACTGAGTTCAAGTCGAAAGGAAAAGATTATGTGTGGTGGAAATACTTGATTGCGGCCAGTGTGCCCAAAACTAACGGTTTTGATTGTTCTGCAGGAAATGCAAGTTTTGGTCTAGGAGATGGGAACAATATTATGTTTTGGTTTGGTAGATGGCTCGGGGGCCCACCCTTAACTTGTTGTTTCCCACTCTTTTCGGTTTGACGAGCAGGCCTATGGGCAGGGTGTGTGACATGGGAGCTTTTCACGAACAGGTGTGGTCATGGGACTTCCAGGTTGAGGCAGAGGCAGTATTGGAAGCTTTTGATCTTGTGAATCTTCTGGCAGGAACCAATCCAATTGCAGAGGGTATTGATTCCATCAAATGGTGGCAAAATGCAGACGATATTTTTTCGGTTAAAAGATGCTTATCTTTCATGAGGGATAAACTTCTGGATGAAGTTGTGGAGCCGAATAGGTTAGCAGCAATCAAGAGGTTTTGGAGGACAGAGATTCCCTCAAAAATCAAGATTTTCCGTTGGAGGATAATGCTAAATAGACTCTCCTCGAAAGACCAATTGGCAAAGAGAAGTATTATTGTTAGTGACCAAGATAAAGTTTGTGTTTTCTGTTCTGCAGATTTTGAAGATCTAGAACACCTTTTCTTTAAGTGTTCTTTCTTCAAAAGAGTGTGGGATAGTATCTATATGTGGCTGAATTTACAGAATTTAGAGGAGGCGGTAGGTTCGAATCATCTGGATCAGTTTGTGCGTGCGCTTGGAGGGAAGATTAGAAAGAAGAAGATATGCTTAGTTTGATTGGCTACGATCTGGTCGGTATGAAATTCGAGAAACAACTTAATCTTCAATAACGAAGTCAGCATTCTAGACGACGTCATTTGGAGCATTAAAGTTTTGTCGTGGTTATGACAAACATCGGTGCGAAAAGTAGTCGATGTTCATCTTTGAATTATTGGCTTCAAACCCCTTTAGAAGTCATAAATAATGTGTAACTTGCTGCCTGTTTTTGTGTTGTAATGGGTTTTGAGTACCCCTAGTACTCATCTCATTTTTAATATTAATTAATCTTGCTTATAAAAAAAAAACTTATTCTTAGAAACAAGCTATCATATATATTTTTATTAATTAAAAAATAAAAAAATATTTTTTCTCTCTCTCCTTTATTATAACCATCACTCTCATGATTCTATTTTAAAAAAATTAAATTAAAATTAAATTTAAAATAATACCATCTTATTAATTATTTTTAAGAATAAAATTGTATGTTCGGACGAGTATTGGTGTATGTTATACGCATTTATTTAAAAAATATATAAGAATAAAAAAAATAAAAAAATAAAACTGCTTAACTAAAAAGAGTTTATTATTTTTAAAAAGACTTATTTTTATTTTTATTTAAATCATAAATATAATTTTTTCATATATAAATATATTTTGATCAACAATATATTTTTCTTTATGTAAATATTATATTTGTTTTGACATTATTTATAAAAATATTTGAATCAATAAAAATTTTATTACCATTTAAAAAAATTAATATTCACTTACAAATTTAAAAATATTTAAATTAATTTATTAAAAATATATATTTTCTTGTATTTGAATAATTAATTTAATTTATAAGAATTATATACAATGTATAAACAAGCACTCACAAATTTTGCATACAACCTACTAATAATGTCACTGTTAAGAATATGAAACAATAAAAATTTGATGGTAATTGAATAAGAAAGATTACCTCGTGTAATTTAAATGAACATGAATGCAAATAATTCGGTTGATGGGTTAATTTAACACATCTTAAGGTTTGATAACATCACTATATAGAGTGGCCAAGAATCTTTGTATGTACTCAACAAAGAGTAGTTTAAAGTAGTGACACAAGGGAAAAAATCTGGAAGATAGTTTGTTGTCCAACTGTGAACTATCATTTTTTAGTTAAGTTATTGAGAATATATATATATAGTTAAGCATTATACGTTGGTTATAGTCCAAAGTAGAATTCATGTAGTTGCAAGTATCTCAATTCTCACTATCAGAGAACACTGACTTTGCTCATTCAATATATTTTTTCAAGTATTTTTGTGAATAGCTACGATGACATAATTGAAAGATATAAAACTATAAGTCATGATCATAAATACATAAAGTATAAAGCCAAAGGAAAACCCTCAATGTTCAAAGCGCATATCACATCTTACCCTTTTGCAAAAGGAAAACAAAAATCATAAAAGTCTAGTTTATGGTGTAGAAACTGAAGCCATCTTATGATATCCTTTCTTACAAATTCTTGGATATGATAAATACTGGGAAACTCGTGAAAAATAGCCACATCATTTTGATTACCCTGAAATAAATAATACAAAGATACATTAGGAGGAACACGGGTTGCAGATTGTCGTGTGAGCTTCTTGCAGTTCATAACAATAACACCAAAACCCTCATCCATGGATTCTTGTGGCACAACATGAGGACGATACACCTCAATTATACAAAGACGAAACACCACAAGATTTGGACAGTTCTTCGACATTGCAACCACAACTGCGTTTGTCATCATCTGACAGAAAAAGAAAATCGATTCTAATTTTCTACAACCTGGTGAAATGGCTTCAACACCAAGCTGAGAAACAGGACCTTCAGCTTTTCCTTCTTCACATCAACGGAAAAAACTCGAAGCTCACGCAAGTCATTGCAAGTTGCAGCCACTGCCAGAAAGCCTTCAAGGCGTCAACTTGAGGAGCAAGCGCGTTGAGAGCATACGCAACAGCAGCACCAGCAACGCTCAAAGAAACATCACCTCCAAGTGCTGCACTTTGACAGAATAAACTCCAGCACACATTTTCATAACAGAAAAATTACATAACAGTAAATTGATGTCATAAAATGGAGTTCAGTTGGAAGCTCAAATTGGTTCATTTGAAACCACAATTTTCAGATTCTTGCCCCATTAGTTTTTACTGTTACAGCTAGAAAAGTTGTGTGATTCAGTGAAATAAGAACGTATGAACATTTTATTACAATTTTGACCATGAAAAATCTCAATTCTTTCCTTTGAGGTTGATTACACACACAAAAACAACAATAATGCAACACACAATCATTAGAAGCTAAATACATCAGTGTGTATGGTAGGTAGTATGTGTTCAGAGCTGGAGACGATTCAATACTATGATATTCTAGTTGAGATCATGCTATCCAATGAAAAAAATCCACTTTGTAGCTTAGTACGTTATCCCTTAAATACATAGTAGTACTAGAATAGTTCAAAAACAACTATATGCATACTGCCACAAACCATCCAACAAATCCATGACAAAATTCCAAGGTTGACACAAAATACTATTCTTGATATATTTATCAGTAAGAATTGAATTCCTCTATGCAAATCTTAATAACGAAAAATTCTATGTGCATTCAAATGCTCAAGAAGTTTGCACGACGACAATCCAAATGCAGCAACGTGTTTGCCGGGATTGTCATCTAAAGAAAGGCATTTTAGGAAGAAAAAAGCATGTCTGGATTGAAAATGTCACCTGATCCTCAAGGAACATGCGTGGAGGTGTGCACCATGCACCACGGTGTAAAGCGTTGAAGGAGCTTACATTGATCAACCCAGTAAATGAGCTAACAGTTGACATTTGGGGACTTTGATGGCCTCCAACTCCTAGTTGTTCTTGCTCTTGCTCCAGCTCCCTCATAGCTACAACGTAATCATATGTAATGAGTCCCTGAGTCAATTGCAAAAACCATAACGTCGAGCACTAATAATATTGTTAATTGGGAATTATGATGCAAACTTATACTTTTCAACAGGAAACCATACTATCTCACCTTTTTAATGAGAAGAATATGAAAGAAGAAAAGTTGAACAACAGGCAAAGTAGTAATCATAGACATAATGGTACATGCAGACTGAAAAATTAAGAGTAACAGAAAAAGCAAAGTTAAATTCATAATAACCATAGTAACCATTAAAGCAGTATAATAATGTCATAATACACAAATGAAAAATAAAGATCAGATTTATTATTCATTAAGATTGTGTGATAGTCAACTGTTTATCCAAAGATTGATTAATAAGATGAGTTTCTAGGCTAAGACAGTACATCTTGGTTAATGGTTGGATGCAACCAGCCTGAAGTTATTGGTTTGATAGTTGATATAGCTTCCAAACCAGCAGCAGCACCAAGACAATGCCCAATCATTGACTGAAAAAGCGAGAAACTAGAATGATAACTTGATAAGCTTCTAGATCATATAGAGGAAATTGTTAGGGTTCTAAAATATTTAAAAGTAAATAAATTTCTTACCTTAGTCCCATTCATTTTTAGTTTTGATGTATCCTTAAAAACCTTTTTGATTGCATTCACCTCAGCCAAGTCACCAACAAGTGTTGATGTAGCCTGAGCATACACATAGTTCACCTTAACAGTTTACAAATTAATCAATTTAGATTCAACAATTTTACATAAATTTGAATTAGATCGAGTTTGATGAAATCACTGCGACACTGTGATTTTGATAAATCAAAATCCAAAATATAGTTCTTTCCAAAATCACGACTGTGCTCTCTTTCTTACCTCTTGAATAAACAGTCTACTGATAATCAAAATTTACCATTAATATCACCTACGCTAATACAAATACCCTTACTGTGATTCATAACAATTCAGGTCAGCTCTCTTCTGCCAGATGAAAGTCTCGTCTTGCTGGGCTAGGAGCGTCCATCATAATTGCTGGGCCAACTCTTCCAATGAGTTCAACGTGATTCTCTTTTTCTCCCGCGATGAACCCGGTAACTTGCCTGCAGGTGATGTTAAAACGAAATATCCTCCAGGTTTAAGAACACGGTCAACTTCTATGAGGAACATTCCATCTATAGGATAAAGTCAATATTAAAGACCAAAGTATAGCATTTAATACAGAAGTTAAACAATAAATTCATTGTTATAGAAACATTTTGTACATCTGTTTAAATCATGGATTTGATTGGTGAAAAAAATTAATTAAAAAAGAACACATGTCATCTAATAAATCCAAACATATTTATAGTATAAGCAAGACATTAATAAATACATACACCCTACACCATTTTCTATCTTAATTGTCATCGTTTTGACAAATACTACAACTTGAATTCAAAATATAAATTTTACAAAATATATGACAAATGAGTCTCTTTGTATGCAAGAGACTATACTGACAAAGAGGGTTAAGCTTGGTTAAGTGACAACAAATGAGCACCAAAGCTACCAAATCTATAATTAATGTCCAGCGTTGTTTGAACCTGTTATATTATGAGCCAAATAAACCAGTTACAAATATTATACAACATAAAGACCACAATCCTCGACGAGAATCAAGAAAAGGATATAGGTGACTTAATAGCATAATCTTCTTTAATGTACTCTATTAGGCACAAACTCTATCCTCGTAAAATACTATGATTCCCCAAAAAACAACCATTAGTCGAATATAATGGAAGACTTACACCAGCTTAATGAAGCTCTGTATTACTTCCTAGCCCTATCATCTCTGCAATTTAACGAATTCAAAATGAGATTCAAGGAATGATATTAGGGAATAATATAAATACAAAAAACTGCACTATTTACCTACACTGCCAAATCCTCATCGAAGATTAAGATTAGGTGTAGAAAACCTTGAATGTTTTGAGGAGATTGTAAAGGAACCCGAGTCATCGGAAGAATAGCACCACTCCTATCTACAGGTGGTTTCTCACCTTCTTTGATATAACATTTGATATATCCTTTGCAACCTCAACCGTATTATGCATCGTGTTACCAGAATACAACAAACACACATTTCAGTTTCGAGTAAAGTGACTCTAACATATAGCATATGATCAATGTACCAGATCTTAGAATATAAACAAAAACAACATAATCTTTTCACAGAATTATAAAAACTATGTATTTACCTAATTATTTCATAACAACTTCAACACAATCTTTGCTATATTTTCTCCTTCGTAGAGGAACGATGGAGGGAGGAGACCAGAGGGCAGAGTCGCATGGAGATGGGACGCATTTTGGTGTAGATGAAAAGGAAGAGGAAGAAGGAAGATAAGGAGGAAGAAGGAAGCATAGATAGATAGATAGATAAAACGCGCATTATTTATTTATTTTTGAATGACCATCATTTTCATCCTGGTATCATGTATGAGTATGACAAATGAGCAAATTTTGAAAGTAACAATTATTCTTTGTAAAAGAAAGTTCAAAAATGTCCATAAAATGTAAGAACGCCATACTGATTTTGAAATTAATCTTCATAACTCCTTTCAAATAGTAAGCAAGAGCGTTCGACTCATTAACCTGCATTATTTTGTAATCAACAAATACCCCTTTCTCCATCTTATTTTGTCAAACAGAAAACTGAGTGAGATGACTAACTGTTGGCTCCTAAATTCGACACCTTTGTTTTGATGGATGGCAGCCATTAAAAGTTGAAAGATGCTTTCGACTGGCTAAGCCTGTCGAAGTGCCCGTCGAAAGATGGCAGAATACTTAGAAGATTTCTTCCAAGGAAGAAGGCTGATTGCCTTCGACGTCGAAGGAGTTTTCGTCGAAGATGTCTCTTGATGAAGGTGTTCGATGGTCTAGAGTGGAGCAGTTTGAAATTCAAAGCTTTGGAGGGAAAACGGTTTCCAGCAGTTACTACGTGCAAACGTGCAAGGATCTGGAGCGTCGAGCATGGAGAACGTGCCAAGTGGCTTAATCTCGAAGCAGTGTAACTGCCCGACGGTTACTTGGAATGTTTTTAGTATAAATAGGAGTAGACATGTAGTTTCTCGCGTGTGTTCACAAATAGATACATAGTCACTCATTTAGATTCAAGTACCCAGTGTGAGCGAAAGAATTGTTGAGAAATGTATGTGTGAAACACCAATTTTATCAATTAAAGTCATTTACTTTCCCAGTATTTTACTTGTTTTTCTCCTTTAAATTCCTGTCGAACCTTTACTTTAAAGCCTTGTTTATTTTACCAAGTCTTTCCTTTATGCAATTTACTTGAAACATTTTACTTAAAGCCTTATCCAACTTAATCAAACTTCAAAATCAACCTATGTCCATAGGATCAATCTGATCGATCCTGCGAGTAACCAAATAAGTAACCATTTGGAGGATCAGCGGTTGTTTACCAAAACCCAAGGTAAACAAATTGGCACACCCGGTGGGACTGTGTGTTGATTGTTGAAAAATAATCTCATCTTTTCGAGTTGTATGTTATTGAGGAGTGGTAGAATATACACCAACGATAACAATACTGCCAGAAGAAGGGAAGAGATGGCGAATCCGCCAAACAACAACGAAATTCCACCACCAAGTGTGGGAGCAACGGTTAATATGACCGTGGGTGAAGCGACGAATGTTGGTTCGACACCAGCAGTGTCAGTCACAACCACGGGGCCAATAACTTCGTTAACAGGCCCCAGAATACCTTTGGGAACCCCCCCACCAAGGGGAAATATTGGCCCAAGGCCAGTGGTTCCCCCAGGATTTATTCCATTCTATGGTATGCCAACTTCTGAAGTGGCAAGCCTGACGAATGCTGCGTCCACTTATTCAGACCCTTTCGTGAGTGCCTCTTCGCCACTCCAAGGCTCTGGAGTAGGCATGGCGAATAGAAATAGGACCCAACTCTTAGGAGGAACGTCCCAAGTAGCCCATGGCCTTACAAATGCCTCGACGGCAGTCTTGAGGCAACAGATGGACGAAAGCAACCATGATATGGTGCAAATGTTGGCACAAACTTTGAGTACAGTGCTAAATCCTCTAATACAAAATACTACTCAATCGAATCAGCAAGTTACAGCGCAAATGACGCGTTTGGCTGACTTCTTTGGAGTACCCCCACCTATTCGACAGCCCCAAAGGGCGCAAATAAGAGGAAATCAGGGGATATTTGTAGAGGAAGAAACCACCATTAATCAGGCTCAACAGCCTGTAGAACAACCTGTCGAAGAACCTAGGGTAATAGCCCCAGAGGTAAGGTTAGTTAACAGAAACCAAAATGCTGACGAAGTGGTTCAGCATGTCCAATACCAAAACATGGGTTTGGAAAACAATCTGGCAACCATGATCGAAAGAATCATGACTCAGAATGGAATGAACATGGGCTTTCGAAGGCCCAACTTTACATCTCCATTGTCAGAATATGTGTTACAAACTGATTTACCTCCTAGAAGCAAAGTCCCCAAATTTACTAAGTTCTCTGGGGACACGACAGAATCTACTGTCGAACATGTGGCGAGATATTTGATCGAAGCAGGAGACATTTCAAATAATGAAAACCTAAGGATCAAATACTTCCCAAGTTCCTTAACCAAGAACGCTTTTACTTGGTTCACAACTCTACCCCCCAATTCGATCCACCATTGGACCCAGTTGGAAAGATTGTTCCATGAACAATTCTATATGGGGCAAACCAAGATAAGCCTGAAAGAACTGGCGAGTGTGAAGAGACGTTTCACTGAACCTATAGACGAATATCTGAATAGGTTTAGGTTGCTTAAGGCGAGATGTTTTACACAAGTGCCAGAACATGAGCTGGTCGAAATGGCCGCAGGCGGTTTAGATTATTCCATTAGGAAGAAGCTAGATACCCAGTACCTAAGAGACATGGCCCAACTGGCCGATAGAGTTCGACAGGTCGAACGCCTCAAAGCTGAAAAAGCTAAGGCAACGAAAACTCACAAGAGAGAGAGAATAGCGTACGTTGAGATGGATGACGAAGATCTAGAATCCTTCGACGATACTTTAGCTGTCGAAGAAGGAGAAGTCGATTTAGCATAACTAAAACAAGGGCCACCATACTCTTGTAAACAGTTAGTCCCCTCAAATGGGAAAAATCCCATTGGTCCAGACAGGACCAACGATAGGTTCCCAAAAAAGACTTATAGTTTTGACATCACAAAATGTGATGAAATATTCGACTTGCTAGTTAAAGATGGCCAAATGATAGTACCCCCTGGGGTAAAAGTGCCTCCTCTTGATCAAAGAAAGAAGAGAGGTTTTTGCAAATATCATAATTTTTTGGGCCATAAAACTTCTCAATGTTTTCTTTTCAGGAATCTTGTGCAAGACGCTATTGAGGAAGGGAGATTAAAGTTTGCTGACAAATCCCCCATGGCTGTCGACTCCAATCCACTGAAGGCTGAAGCCCACTACGCAGAACCCTCTGAAGTGAACATGATAGAGGCAACCAGGATCCAGTCGAAGAAGCCAGGCATTACCATGGTCGAAGTCTCAAAGGACCACATCAACATGCCAATCTTTGGCAGTTTTTCTGGAAATT